GGCAAACTTTCTTGAGTTTTAACTTAAATGTTTATGAGTAATCTGAGTATTTGAAGTGTAGAGACCTGATGCCATAAATCGTTTATTTCTTCACCAGACTGCTGAATATCTTTCTGTCACGTGGTTCATTTGAACTAGAGTTCGAAGTGAAATATCTGAACGTTATACAATAACAATTTTTAAAACGCAATTAACATTTTACCATAGAAAAGTGACTTTCAGCTATTTGTGGTGATGATGATGAATGAATTTTAAGCCGATGAAACACAAGAACTTTCACTGTCAGCAACTCAGGAAATATCACAAAGAAACTCTCTGCCAAAATGGTTTGTTAATAATCTCTATGACTTCCCCATTTTCCCTTTACTCATAAATACAGAGTGAAAGAAGTCCTAGGGAAGTAAGGAAGCTTGTGACGTACACAATTCAATCAGCTACGATGGTTAGTTTCGAAAATAAGTTTGATATACACTGAAACATTATTATTTTTCATCCAAGTTGAGATTAATTTGTGACAGCATCAACCAAAAGTCTCATCATTTTTGCGTGATAAGTTCGAATTTTCTTATAGCTTTTACGCGCCTTACTATTATAAAATGTGAAGCTGAGCATATAAAAATATCATTTTCAGAATTTTATCCTACTGGTATACTACTTCTTTTTTCCATAGAGGATTGATTATCGAAGTTTCCAGCTTATGTGCCAAATAATCTCTCTCATACTCAATAGCCTCTGCATATGAGATATATGTTTGAGTTGGCCAAACTAACTTCCGCTTCAAGAAGCACCAAGTCAGTAACGAAAAACGTCGAACTTACTGATCAGTAAAATATTTCTTGACACATGCCTTGAACATTTCGCCATCAAAAGTAATAATATCACATGCTAGAACAAGAGAGGAAATTGTGAATCACCTGCAAAACGTACAACTTGAGGAACCATCAGAGTACTACGACGCATAGGTCTTAGTACATAATTGTTGACCACTTGTGTTTCTGCCTGCTTAGAATCTTTTTATTTATTCATATTTCCGATTTATTATTTCTCCGTGACGTGCTGTACATACTTCGTCGATTGATGATGTCGCAGGTTTGTGGTACAGCAAACAATTCAGTTGATATCCTAATTATCAGTAGTTAGCCGGGAAATGGAGGGCATGCGTTCCGTTCTGTTTACGACTTGTCATTTGAATATACCTTCGTAAATGTGATGATTCTTGCTCAAACTTTAATCCGACACCCACCGTTTCATCAATAGCATCAAAACTAAAATATTATTAGTGTCAAGGTATTCTGAAAATATATTGACCCGATTAAATCAGCAACAAAAGTTTGTCTAGATGGAAAGAGCCAGTGCATATTCCTGGTGGTGATGGGTATGATGAAAGAAGTATCCAATTGTTCAGAAATGAATGATTAACTGCCACAGAGAAGTACATACCTGTAACCTTCATTCTGAGGTGAAGAAGAACAAAATTGAAATCAGATGTGATGTAGATTTCTATGAAAAATAAACAGACTCTTTTAGGTTAATCATTCAATTGGGAAATAACAACTATGAATAAATCTTTTTGCTGTTACGTTGAGATGCACTAACAAAAAAAGTTATCTAATCTTCAGACTTATCTGTCGTGATAGATTTAAGGGAATACTGCAGATACGTTACACAATTGAAACCCTTAAGCTGCTCAGAAATAACGTGAACGATCGTCAGACTTGTCAACAACTCGTATTTGGATACTGAAAAGAAACCGCAGGAAGAGATTTTGATTTGCATATGTTTTTGAAGGTTTATTTTTACCCTCAATAACATATGTGTCTGTGTACAATATGTTTTCAGACTAAAGATGTCATGGTAGAAAGAAGACTTGCCAATGCCATTGACGGTGGGAAATGAAATATCCTTCCACGTTATGAAATCGACCGTTCGAACCCTAACTCTTGGACCTTGATGATATTTCATGTCACGGAAGCTGATAGTGGAACTTATATTTGTCAAATTAATTTGGCCATCATTAAGGAAAAATTCTTCTACCTGAAAGTTATTGGTAAGTTTTATCGCTCAATTGTTCGATTTGGCTTAATTCTGTCAATCTGTTAAGATTAACACTTATCTGTTCCTAATCTTAAGCACAGCTTCTCACATATTAATTTATTTTTTGATGCATACCACGCGCATGAACACTGAAAGGAGGAATTGATCCAGTACATCCTGCCCGACTAAATTGTGTGTGAATATGTCAATCTTAAACTAAATTGTTAGCGTTTGGGTTCCTATGGATGACATCTAGTACTTGATGTAATAAGTTCCATGCGAATTCTATATGTAAAATGGAAAATGTGACAAACACCAAATATTGTTAGGTTGAGATGGCATAAATGATGCTGATGATAATAAGAAGTGTCAACACTTACCACTTGGGCATAGTCTGGTGAAACATACATTTTTCAACCCTAATGGTCAGTGAAAAGATTTTAAATTGGTTTTGAGGAGGAATTATTGGTATGATGAACTTATTGGGGAAAATGTTTCAAGGAATTCTGAGATATGAATAATTTCGATACGCTTGAAGCTGTTTGACGTTGATTGATGAGATCTCATAACTCATATTATCGGAAGATATTATGGGTACCTGGTCCGCATTAAAATTGGTTACATGTAGCTAGATTTTCGTACTTGCAATAGCTACCAACTAAATGATATTTAAGGTATCAGAATTCTAAAGGTGAACTGGATCAAAATAAATGTACACATCAGTGTGTGAATAAAGTTCGTTGTTAATCCTGAATAGAGGATATGCAAACGATACGATAGATATAGTTGGATGACTTTGTGTATGAAGATGGTTATTTTATGGATGATGGAAAAAACGTATGTTTTTTACTGTATGGCAATTTATAACAACACAACAGTTCTCCAGCTCTGACGTGTACGATTTCATCAACTGATGTTTCATACATAAATAATTAACAGTAGACTAAATGGTTTTAGGGTGACTAGCTGCTGCAACCTGTGAAGTCGTCGCTAAGTCAGGCCGAACCCGAGAAAAATATTGGCCACAAAAAAGTTGGAAGAAGGAATATGTCTATATTCACGTTTGATAGTCTAGTTTCTGCATTGTTAATATACTATTTAGTTTCATAGGTAGACAAACTGATATATTTCTCAGCCAGATGTCAGTGGTCAGAATCATATCACACTAGATGGACCTAGAAAATGGTTACTCTATCGAAAGAAGAACATGATGATTCAGTTAGACATGAGTTTGAATGAATACTACTGAAGTGCAGTTCACGACAGCTGAGAAGTCTTGAAACCGTAATAAATTTTATATATTGAAATCATTTTGATGCTAGTCCACATATATAATTTTCCCCCCCAATCGGTGTTGGATAATGGAAAAAAAGACGAAGCAGACAAAATTACTCTTCTATTAGGATTCGAAATACTCATGATTATCGATACAAATTTTTGAAGATTTCAGCCTATTGGTTGAAGAATACCAAGAACCCAATGATACTATAGGGACTGGATAAGTTCCTGCGTTCTGCTGTCAAACTTGCGTAAGTTTATATGAAATTGAAAATTCTAGGAAATTTTAACAATAAATGTGAGTACCCTAAATTTTACCGGAACGGTAATTCTTATCACTGTATAGTCTTTGTTATAGAGACTTAAAAAAAGGACAGTGGAGTGGTCAGTTCCAAACAGTATCCTAGACTCTCATACATTTCACAATGAAAAATACTTTTTAACTATTTTCAGTGGATCTCATGCCTTTTCGAACAAATTGCCAAATTAAAATTGAGAGAATGATGGAAAAAGGCTATTTTAAACTTCTTTATGTATTGCATTAATTAGTCGACTAGATAACTGTTACTACTGTTTCACATCTTGACATTTTGTTTCTCAGTATTATGTAGGCTATGATCTACTAACCTTATGCTTCTCTTGTCTGTTTTGCTTTAATTTATGCACGAGTGCATACATCATTTCCTTGTGAAAATACTTTCCAAAAACGAAAAAAATATGAATGGCTACTCATGACTTACCCTGTATACATTTGAACAAAAATTAGTGCAGAAAGCTGAACCGGATGCGACTAAACTGAATGATGAATATGTTGAAGATGATATAAAGGCGAACAAACTTCAGAGAGCATCAAGTGAAAGAAGTGGGCATTTTACATTTCTGTTGCAGCTCTGCCTTTCTTCTACATTATATTATATGTCTATGAGCAGAAATATACAATAGAAAAACTAGTTTGAATATATAAAAGTTTTTTATCAAAAATTCTCTGCTGATGAACAAAATGCAAGGTAAATGGTCTAAGTGTCCCAGGACTTTTATCTTCAGAAGGATGATAGGTGTTCAAAAATTTTACGGAACTTTGCTAACTGACTGAGATTGGGCATTTTATGAAGCATAGAAATCCTATTCATTGCATGAACAGCAGATTGCTGGTATAATTATGTGTTTCATTGGTGTTGTGCGTAGATTAATGGCGTGTAACTTAGAAGGACAGATGCAGAAGGAATTTCTTGCTCACAATAGTTCATCAAATGATGTCATTCACCTTGCGTTACAATACTATTCACATGTGACTGGTTATTTACAGTTTGAGTGCAGAAATATTATTTGTTCAGTAGCCTGTAAGCTTGCAAACGTTTTAAAACGACGTGGAACAAGGATATTCTTACAAATTAGCGTTGCTTTTCTTCAACAAGAAGCAGTTTATGTCCATATTTCAGTACTATTTCGCGCTAAAAGAAGGGAAACCTCCTAAATGGTATGTTTTCAATGCTCCATTTGATTACAAGTCCGTATGTAATAGTTGCATATTGCAATGCCTAAGTTCAAGATTTCTAATAGTTTTCGGGGGTTGAAGTTAAAAAGATATTGAATTAGTGTATCAGAATCTAGCAGAAAAAGTACAGTTCAGACCCTTTGATGGAGTGAGATTCCCTATTAGATTAGTACACCTGATATTGTACACTGTGGTAAAGTATTCCTTCCTGGAGGATTTTTTGAATGAAGTTTACTTCTAATTCTTTGCTTTCAATGGTGTTGGAGTTTTTCAGATGTCTAAATGCAGGATGAATCAATCGTTTCGATTTGTTAGAATTAAATCGATGAACAAGAAATGCAGCCAGTCTCTGCACTCATCTATGTGAATGGGATTTTACAACTGTCGCTCTGTCCCACGTAGTAAGGTGAGTGTCGGTCTTTGGATGCGTGGTGACAGCCACATTTTATCTTAATCAATTATCTTAGTAATGTTTATCTTTTCATTTACCTCTAAGTTCTCATGCTACTACATCTGTGTTGAACCTGATCCTCTGCTGCAACCTACGCAGCCGACGTCTCAGGTATGAAGCGTATGCCAAATTGTGTCACTTCACTCATTTTTGTTTGCATGGTATGTTAGCCTGTAGGTTTTCTCTCTAAGTATTACAAAAACCGTATGCGTACCGCTCATCGCAACACTGTTGGAATACCCACAAACAGCTTAGTATGTACTTTCTTACGCAAGGTGACTTTAAAGACTTTGGTTTCTCTTCATCTATGCTATAAATGCAACTAACGTGCCTATTACTCTTTTTCAGATATATATATATATATATATATATATATATATATATATATATATATATATATATATATATATATATATATATATATATATATATATAAATCTCGAGGGTGTTTATTACTTTCTAATGCATCTTCAGTATGTCTCAGTTTCTTCTTTACATTTTCTGATTTAGTAGTCAGCTGCTGGTTTGGTTACTGGAACATATATCCTAACAGATATAAGGCGAGAAGAAAAAAACATTAGGCATGTTTTCATGTTTTATGGTTTCTTGTGAACAATGAGAATTTAAACTAGCATCTTATCACTGTGTGACTTTTGTGACCCAAAATAGCTTATTATCCTGCCTTATTTGTAAGTCTAAAAGTTGACAGTAGTGAACCTGCTACTGAATGTGATGTGTCAAAGGTTTTGACACACTGAAAATCAGTAATAATGCAACATTAGGTGTGTTTGCCTCCATGGTAGATGTAAACTGGACAAGAACAATGGTAAATTTGTGGAATAAGCAGTATGCAGAGACACATCGTTCAAAGTTGACGTCACGACTCTACAGAATAAAACAGTAAAGATCGATGCTGATCAGTCGGTAGCTTTATAATATGACATCTGATTGACATGCGGTGGTAGAAGATTGTTTACGGTAGTTGACTAAGTACAATGGAATCTTCTGTAGAATGTGAAGAAAGGCCAACTTTTCCCAGTTCCGGCTTTATCAGTGCAAACATTGAAGGCGAAATTGTGTATCCTGAGGTAATTTTGTGATTCCTTATCCTAATTCGCTTCCCAGTTTTTTAAACCTTCCAATTCCTAAGCCAAACTAACCTTTCTAAATTTTCACTCTGTTATTATGTGAATGCTTTTAGCTCAATTACTGATTTCTACATCCCTCGCTTACTGACAGTCGTCTACTCACGCTGTTACAAGTTCTTCAATTTTCGATTTCAACTCACACTTACTAATTGACGTTGTCAACTGCTTTCATTTTTTCATTTTTGCTCCATTTCCATATTACTTTCCTGACCACAATCTACTAAACGTTATTGATCAGCAAATAGTGATATCGCTCAGACAATAAATGAATACACTAATTATATGCAAATGCAGCTGTGCGGCTACCAAGGATGATGACCCTGGAAACTAACTTGTTCACTGTAGTCTGTTCTCTTTTATGACTCGATGGGAATTCTTTTGTACTAATTCTAATGATTTTCGATCCAAGCAATCTTTTCCTTGAATAATGTTGCAGACCTACCTCAAAAATTTAAATATCGTTGTTATGCTGGTATGGTATCTTAAACTTCATGTTGGTTTGAATATTTTTGATGTGAAACTTACTTCATATCTATTGATCAGTGTTACTGTTACTAACATCTTTGGATCGAATGAATGCAACAGAATTATTACATTCCTTCAGACAGTAAGGTGGGAGACAGTCAGTCATTTTGGTAAACATTCACTTGTCGTTACTACCAATAACCCAAAGTAAAATTATCATTCCTGTTATTACACTTTGCTTTACCGTTGAATTATATGTCACTGAAACGACTCCTGAACACGCACGACACTAAAAATGTACACAGCCTGCCAACTTACTACATACTGTGAGTTCCTTTGGTGCACACTGACTGATAAAACAAACGAATTATCATTCTCCTGGTACTAGTAACAAATAATATTACATTCAATCTAATGAATACATCAAACAAAGGATAAATTTGATTCAGGTGAAAGTACTGAAATTAATCAATCAACTAAGTGGGTTCTCTGGTATCCATTAACAACCTTAGGAATAATACGTATTCAAAAAACAATTATACCACTGATAAGAATACTGAGTGACGGGGGAATACAAGTGTATTTTAAAATAAAGTTAATTCTAAATTGAAACCCAGTTGACTGACATCTAAATAAATCATTAGAGTGTCATGAATGAGAATACTTGCAGAAAGAAGACCACCTATTTTACTACATGCACGCACACACGCAAGAACGCTAGACGTATTTAAGCTGTTACAGTCTGTGTGAACTGAGAAGTGGAATTGAAAAGCGTTTTCATAACGTTTTTCATTGCATTAGTTGTGTGATGAATGAACAAAGAGATTTACCCTGATTTGTCCAGAATAAGAGGGAAGTATATAAAGGTAAGTCTGATTGAACGGAAGATGAAACTGTAGTCGAAATCAACAAGCAATGACTAGACTAAAAATCAGTTAGTTTGAAAATGAAAAGCAGGATATTGATGTCGAAGTCGAGTTACTAATCATAATAACCCCTTTTGTTCAGATTGTTTCATAACGACTTGATGGTTTGATTGTCAAAGGTAAATTCTTGTTAATTTCGATCATTCACAAATAGTCAAAATTCCCTGGAAGTGAATATATGTCTGGATTGTTTGTTGTCCTTACGTCGTCCAACCTTTGATATTCGTCAATTGCAGGAGCTGAAACAGCCAAGTTTATGTATGCTTAGATTTCGAACACAAATAAAAAATAGAGAATGAATGATAAGGTGAACATTGCTTACTTAAGATCCGGTATAAACAAATGACAGAACAACAAACCAGACGTTAATGTGAAGAAGAATTGAAAACCAATGTACCACTGGTGTTCATATAAAGTCATGAGATGGAAATAAAAAGGGAAAATAAGTGAAGACAAATGTATGCTACGAGTGTTTCAATGAGTGTATGGGAGAACGTATCTGTGCGATAGGATCAATTGTAAGTCATATCAGAAAGTAAGAGACTACATATAAAACGGGATATTTTGTCACTTTTAGGTTAAATATAACCCATTCCACGAAAATCATCATATTTGCATGAGTTGCATGGTTGACTGGTAAGCATAGTCCACGCCCTTGTTACCTCAGTCACCAATGTTACACTACCTGATCAACTTACATACCTACTTAAACTGATGCTCTATACTCAGCATATTGTCTTCCAGCCTTCTTGTTGTACACCATAAAAACAAAGCAGACAAATAATAAGTATGATTGTTTCCGAAATTCTGTGCTTTTGAATACTTATTTTACAGGTGAACTAGCTTGGCTGGGTGGGTGACTGCAGAATACTGTCGTTCTATCAAACGAGTTGGGAAATCTATTCATTGCTACAAGTTAGGTGAATCCATTTCAGTCTTTTGTATTAGTATGGGGAACTTATAATTCATCAAATCACATGTCGTAATGCAGTTCCCAACGCTATAGAGATGATAAACACCATAAGCCATGTCTTGGAGGAAATAATCTTAAAGAAACAGCATCTATCTGAAGGACTGAAGAAAGTATCTCAAACAGTTTGAGATCAGGACTCGAAGTTTCTGCATTCTGTCAGTATTCACTTGTAAAAAGACTCTGTCGTTGACAATTCGGAGGTCAGTTAGTGAATTCCGAAGATGAGACCAGTCATCACTCGGTGATACACAGCAAGAGGATTTCAGAATATTTTTTATCACAAACGGAGTAACTAGAAATCCATAAAGGATAACAGTGTATGAAGGTGTCTAGGAGAACATCTTTTGATAATCTCTAAAGCGATTGAACACAGAGTTCTTACTAGTATTATTGACTTGAAATATTATGAATGTTCAGTGTGGAATGTAAATCAGAAGGTAAGCTTCTTGATACACACTTGTTGTCCATTCTAATGAGCAAATGTTTTACTATTTCACGTCGAAGTTAGCTTGAAATATAGATGATTAAAGATGCATTATGAAGAGCTCACTGGTTCATACATGACACATAAGTTTTATGCCAGTAAGATATAAAATACTTTTGTTTATTGTTTCACTCCTCTTATACCCCGACTAGACTTAGAATCTTTGATAGCCGTTAATCATATTACTTCTAATAGCTAAATTGGTTTAAAGTTGATGAACTGAACATCCTTAATAACTACGATATGCTACAATAAACGTTGATGTGAAATAGTCCAAAGAAACAAATGCAAACGTAAATAGACTGCGAAAATGAAGTTTACACAACCAATTGATTGAATTACTTTATTTTACAGATTCAAGTTATTTTGGATACACATCATTTACGAAACCTCTTATGTTTTGTTTTATACCGTTATTAGTACTCAAGATAATGTTGCAGAAATGACTAAGGAAGCTATTGTTTTATCATCTTTTGCCAAGGTGTCCACATTTTTAGTTATCCTGGTCAGTTTCCTTCTCTGACGTGTATAGTTCAATTTAGTCACCCAACATCAATGTCCTCCATTCACTGGTATCACAATGGTAACAGGATATATCCTAAAATGGACAGTACAATTTATGAGAATCCGAAAATGTCAATTATTGATAATAATCTAAAAATGAAGGAATTGTACACGGATGTACAAAGGAAGTGGATTGATCAAACAACCCTTGCAAGCAGATTGAACATTGGCCAGTTGACAACGCACAATTCAGGGATATGGACTTGTCGAAAAATACCCGGTACACAGGTGGAATCTATCGAAGAAAGTTCAGTCAACTTACAACTGACAGGTGTGTGATTTCCAAGCAATTAACAGTATTGATCATCATTATCTGATGTTCATTTCTATTGGACTGTTATATATTGTATGTATTCGGTGTAATCACTGTGACTGTCTTTGATTGATTGAGTCGATCTTGGAAGTTAATACATTAGATTTTGTTTTAAGACTAGACATGTTGATCATATTTAAAACGGTCATATAGACAAGTGATGTTGACTGATTCATTGGTCGTTAACAGGAGTGAATGCAAAGTCATTTCTTGCATATTTTCATATATGATTTTAAGGTAGTCAGTTCCTTATTATTTGAGACTAGGATGAACTGACAATAGAGATTAGAACAACGACTAGCTGATGGCTAGATATTTGCAAAGCGTTCTATAAATATCTAGCAAGCGACTGTGCGAATTCACTCATGTTAGTTGCGGTTTATCCATAGTGAATATACTTGGACAAGAAGAAGCTTCCAGTAGAAAACAGAATTTGTTGCGAAAGAAAGGGGAAAAGAATGATGTTATGTATCAAAAAATAGAAGCAACTACGTAAGATACACTTTGAAGCTTTTAGCAGTTCTTTATCATTCCTCCAAAGTGAAAGATACAGTCAGCTGACAACGTGATCCTCGCTAGATTCTATTCATTTGTGATGACTCTCCAGTCCTCTGAATTGCATGGTCATCGTTTTGTAAAAGGAAATTTGGTGGAGTTTAGCTTTCACCACAAAGCAAATACTTGATCGGTGCACAAATTATTTGAAAGACAACTGATAGGAAGCTTTGTCTGATCGAGATTTAGTGTTTCATGGTTGAAGTAATATCCGTGTAGATGAAAAGTAATAGAACGCAAAATGTAGACAAAACATGGAACTTTAAATCATCCCCAACGTAGTCTCCTCTAAGTTGGTTTAAAAATTGCTGTTCTGTGTACTTTTGATGCTTTGCTGTGTGCGACGTTGTATGAACCTCACACACTTATTAGACTGGTTGTGATTGATTGAAAATCAATTAAGAATCAAGTTTTGAGCAGAAATGTGCAGACGTCTTAACAATATTTCGTCGACATGTTTACGAGAGTTTCGGGCATGTATCAAGATTGCTGATCAGCATACCCGGAATTTCACAAAATCTCCCCAACATATAGGACGTTTTCTTTAAACTCTCAAGGAACAGCTGGGATAGCATCTGTCTACTGACAGATAAAGCTGCTGCACTGACTCCACCACTTGATGTGTCAAAAACAAGTTAGTTGAGGGATTATCGTTTAAATACCAGTAGTCATTCCGAAAATCCAAATATTACTTTAGGGTTATGGCTTTGCACTAACTGGAATTGAAATTTATCCTTCATCCTTGTAATCACTACGATATAACATTTCTATTCTTTGAATAAAAAAAATGGGGGAAAATTACGTGAGACAAGTTAACTGCCAATTTCGGCCTTCAATTTCTGCTGATTTATAGGTACTAGCGAGAATGATTCCTTCGGGCGAAATAAAGGCAAATCTCCAAGTAAAAAGATTTCATCTTCCAGCATCAACTTACATAGTTTGATATTTTTACACTGTATTTTTCATAAAATATTTCCTCTTTGTGTATAAACTCATACCACAAACTTCAACTATCCCACATTACTTTTCATTGCGTAATCAGAATGGAAAACATTTTAGCACTTTAGTAATGACCAGTTAAATCTGGTAACAGTTGCTTCAGTCCCTTTTCTTATAATGTATTATCATTCACCTTTACTCATTGTTTAAAAATGTATTCAGAAAATTATTATGGAATTAATAAGATTTCTGAAAATGTGTATGGAAATAAATTATCTCTTCTTCCCGCGATAACGTATTTAAAAGTTGGTTTCAGAATTCAACGCTGCCGTGCACACCTGATAGCTTCTATTTGTTTTATCTGTAAGCATGAATCATTTCAACTTTTTATTAATAAGTAGGAATGTTTGATGGACATAGTCGTACAATCCTCTTTTAAGCTTCATCACTGATTCCATTTGTTAGTGCCCATTTGCTTGGAAAACGCGTTCTTTGCGAGCTGATTCTCAACTTTCTTCATTCATGAAATTCTTTGACAATATAGATTTCATTGTTTTTACTTGAAGTTATAAAATTCACTGTTATTAAGTGGAGCCGGCAGGCACTTTCAAAGTTCGTTGCGGCAAGTTTCACTTTCATGATGTTGGTGTTGTTGTTGTTGCACGAATCTATACTCTGAAAATTTTATTTCACCTCTAAAAATTCTTCTTTATAAAAGCTTTCCTGCACTATTTGGAGGCATATTTTTACCAGTTAAAGACGAATTATTACCTGTGGTGATGGATTAGCAGTGAAACAGATAGTCTAGCTAAAGCTTCCTACCTGAAACGTTAACACATCGTTTGATTCAGTGTTTATTTCAGTAGTTACGAGTGTTTTTATGGAATACCAAAGGTTTTCTGCCAACTATTATTAGAAGAAAAGGGGCATACTCTGGCTGGACCGATATGAAGACCAGAAGAAGATTTGGATTTCGCCGATGACTTGTGTCTGATGTCACATAAACTTGAAGATCTACAGGCAAAAACTAACAAGTTGACAGAAGAGGCGAGGCAGAGAAGACGGGACTTCAGGTGAATATAGAGAAGACGGAGTTGATGAAGATACCCAACCAACAACAGCATCAACAACAACCACCAATCACCATTAACGGGAGTTATCTAAATGGAGTAGTCTCTTTCACCTACACCTACCTAGGCAGGACAGTATCGTTTCAACTACAGGCAGCAGCGTCACAGACGAGGATGTCAAAACCAGAATTGGAAAAGGAAGACAGGCTTTTATTAACCTGAAACCTGTGTACAGATCTTCTGCACTCAGCATGTCGAACAAGATCCAGATTTTCAACACCAATGTCAAGTCAGTGCTGCTATATGGTTCAGAGACTTTGCGCGTCACGAAAAGCATTTCCAACAAACCATGGACATTCATCAACACCTGCCTACGCTGGCTCGTTACTAAAGCTCAGATGGCCAGAATAACAAGGATAAGCAACATTGAAATCTTTCTGGCAACGAACCAACCAAGAACCTATCATCCAACAAATATGCAGAGGAAGAAAGTGTGGATGGATTGGGCATACACTGAGAAGACCATTCAGGGACATCACGTGCCAGGCACTCTAGTGGAACGCAAATGGGAAACGGCGAGTTGGGCTTCCCAGCTGAGCGTGACATGGAGGAGATGGTGTGAGGAAGAAATGAGAGCTTGTGGGTAGTCATGGAGCCAGGTTCAAAGAACTGAAGAGAACAGAATGGAATAGAGACGGGCTATTGAAGCTCTATGTTCCACCACGAACTCAAGGGACAACTAAAAATATAATAATAATGCCTGGCGATGGTTTCTATAAAGCTTAATATTTCTGGGACTAGTGAGTCATCTTGGTACATAAGCAGAAAGTTGAACAAGAAACTAGAGGAAAGTCTATGTTCTTAACGAAACAGGATTTACTAGAATACTTCCTCAGAAATCCATCAAACTTATTGTCTACTGTTAGTAACTAAAAGAACGAAGTGGCGCTCCATTGCAGAATAAAGCTCTCATTCTCAGGCCACATAAACATCTGTCTGGAGTTTCTCGTTAAGGAGCGACAGCACTAATTGTATGCAGTTTATTCTACTTATTTTATCTCAGTGTAGTATATTGGAACAAACGAAAAATGAATTACTAAATATTTTGTGTTATTCCTCATTTATTCCATATGGTTGGGGATGATACTTTCCTAGAGTATGTGTCATTAGTTTGTCAGGTTAATGTTCAAGTTGGGTACAGAAAGTTGCCTTCCGGGTCATCCTGTAAATTGTTCTCTGGAACATAACAAACTTTCAAAAACGCTCATCGAACTTGTGCTATTAAGGTGGTACAAAAATAGCACAATGAATTTTTTGACTGAAATATACAATGGAGTAATGAGTAGACATGGTCAAGTTAAAAACAATCATTTGGTATGACAGAAATAAATCATGTGGAATAGTGTGATATGGTGATATTGAGTTTGTCGAAATGGTAAACCTAATTCATTAATCTGGTGGTTTTCAAGGTGACCTTTACAGTTACCCGTCTAATCATTACAGTAAGATTAAATTGTGTCCCATATTGTCCTTGTACACACAGGTAAACAAAATCAATGTAAAACATTGCATAGGTGCGTATCATTTCATATTAGTACACTACACAGCAGCATGCAATGCGATGTGAAGGTGGAAAAGAACTTCGAGAATCAAGGTATTTGAAAATATTCAAGCTATATAAAACTTCAACGAATGAATATATCTATATCATTGTGGTCAGTTTCAAATCATGTCACTATGGGTCCGCAACCACTAATTCCGGTTGTCTCGAAGCCCCCAGCTAGCTAGCGGATCGCAACCTACACGGCTTGGACCAACAGTCAGGGTCTTCATTAAACAGTCTCACTTCTTTGGTTAGCCCCTCAGAGCCTTCCCCTATCCCAATCCAGCTTCGGCTACTGCTGCTAGTCGAAGTAGCTGGCGACTTGTCATTTACAACATATGTAGAGGCGTTTACTGTTAGTCAGGACTTTCAACTTCATTGGCTGATTTCGTTGCGCTAACTGGTACCTTCTTATACGAATCACTAAGGTTTTCCATACTTGCGGGACATCTGGCCCACTTTTTCTGTTGATCGCAAAAGAATATGAACAGATATGCATTTGATTTTGCAATTGATGTCCCATTTCAGAAAACAGACTTTTTTTGAAGAACTGTGCCTTTTCATACAATATTTTATGACCTAGTTATAAGGTGTGATTCGCGATGGTAGACTTTCTTCAAAGTTTTCAAACTCACAAGAAAATATTTTTAATGTAACGTTTCGTTGATGATCAGTTTGACGTGTTAGTGCCCAACTTGATCTCTTTAATGCATGCAGCACCACACCTACTACAGTCTACCTGACAATCGCAGACTTGTGATCTCGGATAGGGTACCGGGTCTTTGAATTTCGACGGTGTTGGTCACTTTAAAGAATATCCTAGTGTTGCAGCTGTATTCTTCATTCTGATGTATACATATGATAGGAAGTGCTGTAGTACGTATTTCAATCTT